TCTGGATAAAATAATCTTTGACATTGCTGAGGTAGTCAATAATGATTACAACTGGCCTTTAGCCACAGAGACACTGATCTGAAGCTCACTGCTTCCACTGACCTGCCACAGCCCTCAGGCACGCGACTAAGTCTTGCTGGATTTACTTTCTTCATCTGTAAAATGGGCACAAGAACAGTATGTATACCTTACAGGATTGTCTTTCAGTACTAAATAGTATACAAAAGCCTGGCCTATACCAAGCATTCCATAATTACTTCGACTAGAGTCACACTTCTGGAAGGCATTCCTTTTTGGAATACCTGAGGGATGAGCCAGAAAGGAAGCTTGGGCATTGGGCAGGGCTGGTAAACCTGAACTGGGAAGGGCATGGTCATTAACTGGACTCAAGGCCTGCTAGTCATTTCTCCTCTGAAGATGAGCTGAAAGCTGGAAGCACCCTCAGGCAGGAAGCAGGAACTTGGTGGACAACTCAGCACAGGAGGTCACTAGAGATGCTGGAAAGTAGAGCACAGGCCAGGCAATTAATGGCCAGGTATGATAAAGGAGCAGGAGGGACAGAAGGGAAACTTTAGAAAAGGGAAGAAGGCTTGGAAAAGGAAGCCCTGAGCCAGGGAGACCTCCTGAGGCCTGACCTCAGTAGAGAGTGGACAAATGAAGCTGAGGAGGGGTGCTCTGGGTACGTATGTTCAGACTTTTGCTTCTGTTCTCCTTTCTGGTCCTATCCAGTGTTCTTCCACCAAGGGTAAGTGATCTGGGAATATTCTGTACTCTGTACTCACTCAACCGATGGCTGGGAGCAGTGAAGTGGGAAAGATACATTTCCTAGGGAAACGATGCCAGGGCTGTTTATTCCTTCAAGGACTATGTGCTCTTCATCTCATTCCTATCCTACACTCCAGCACAGGGCTGAGCCCATGGAAAACCATTCATGAAGAGCCGACTGCACTGGCTGCGGGCCCATCTAGCCACCACATCCTGCACTAGCCGTCCTTTCTGGCCAGGAGATGAGGTTCCAGGCCTTTCTTTCACTTCCTGGCTCTTACTTGGTCAGCAATGACGGTTCGGTGCTGGTACATTCCAGGATTAAGCTGCCAACGACAGAACTGGCCTCTCCAGCCCCGGGTAATCGTGCCTCCCCCGATGCCACCCAAGGGACAACCTAGAGAGAGAATCAGGATGGTTGGGGGAGTGGGTAGTGGGGGGGGGGGTGGCATGATTAGAGGAAAACAAAACTATTTCTCACTTTCTCTAACTACCAAGATGGAATTCTCTAAAACCCACTGTGACTATCAAATCAGTACATAGTAACCTTGAACATATACATTGTTATACATCAAGAATGGTTCAGCAAAGCTGGGAGAAAGCAACACTTGGGTATAGGGCCTGTAACTTGCAGAAAGGGAAAACCTCTTTGCCTGGCTCTGGGATAGCCTGGGCAGGGCCGAGCATGGAGGAGGCTCACCGTAAATCTGTCTCAGGGGCACACAGTTGATGAGGTCGATGAAAGGCGTCTTTTTCTCCACTTGGGTCTTCCGGTACCACCACCGGAAGTACCTGGGGAGCAAGTGGGAGCATGAGTGGAACGGGTGGGCTTGCTCATCATCTCTCTTTCTCTCTCTCTCTCTCCCCCCCTCACACACGCGCGCACACACACACTCCCTCCCTCCCCCCCCCCTCAGAAATGCACAAACTGTGATTTCCACGGAATGTCCCCAGGACCCATCACCTTTGCTCCCAAATTCTCCTCTCGACTTCTCTCCTGATTCACAGTCCTTCAACCCCCAGATGGGCTGTGTTTCTCCTTAATGGCACCTTTCCAGACTTTTCTAATTCTCTGACTCTCCCATCACAGTTGTAGATCACCACTGGAACTTTTGACTGAGTGGTGTTTCAGGGACTATGTGGTACCAGGGATGGAGCCCAGGGCTTGTGTACGCAAAGCCTGTGATTCATCTCTCCAGCCCTTAAGTTCCTGTTTCTAATGTTAGATGTTTAAAAACTGTAAGCTTTCTGATGCTATTCTTTTATAATATCACAGTAAAACCTTCAAAAAGTGCCATTATTTCCTGAGTGTCATCACAGTTCTGCATCTCAGGGGCACAGTTCTCTTTGGGATTCCAGAGTCTCACCTCTGTCCCAGATCATCTTCACTTTTGAATTCTTCACTCAGCTCTGCCAAGGGTCTCTCCCAACTCCATCCGCCTGCAGGGACTGTGCACTCTTAGGGTCAGGCACACCACTAGGAACCCCTCTGAGTTGTGGTTTCCTTATCTACAACATTGGGACGCTTCTTGCCCTGCCTACCCCATGACTGAAAGAGCAAATGACATGGTCTGCATGAGGGCTGCAGAGAGGAATATCTGTGTCATGTATGAGCATTACTTGTACATCCCCTATCTGAACTCCTCATCAGTCTTCCTACTTCATTGTTTCTCATGTGAGTCTGACATCCTTTTAAGTTCCACAGGGAAAGAGACAATGACAGAAACCAGTTGAGGATTCCCCTAGTGGCTTCAAGCAACGGGGCACTAGAGAGATGTGTAGGGGCAGAAATCAGGGGTGGATGTAAGGGTGATTAAAGAAGGAAGGCACATTCCTAGGGTGGGGGAGGGAAAGAGACAAAGGAAGTGATAAGAGGCAGGAGTCTCTGCCTGGCCTGCGGACTTTGAAACCAGAGGCAAGAAAGGGACAGTTGAAGGGAGGTGCAGAGGGGATGGGCTGGTAGGGAGGAGAAAGGCGAGATATGGAAAGTGGCAAAACAAAGTACTGGCACAGAATAAGCACCCAATAAATATTTATTGAATGAACGACCTTGTAGCAGAGCAATCAAAATGATCAAAACTAACCGGTTTCCCAAACCAAGAGAAGTCTGCTGGGATTGGGATACTTGTCAGCATACCCTCAATTCAACTCCCTCCGTCTTAGGCCTATGTCTCCCCCTTCATGCAGCAGCTGGCCTTTCCTGTTTGGCCTTCTCCATAATTTCAGCTCTAACTTAATTTTACCATTCAGAATTCTTCCTTGTCTCACCCTCCTTCTCAGAGCAGGAACTCCTCCCTGTGTTCCAAAGGCCCTGTGCCAATGACGCCCACCTCTTCCTGGTTCGGCCCAGCTAGTCTCAAGGGGTAAGCACAGCATCAAGTCTCTGCCTCAGCTCATACTTAGTATCAGCGGGGCCACACCGTGTACCTGTTCCTGACCTCAGTGACCCCCTCACCCTCCCACCCCATGCCCCCAGGTGCCTCTCTCAGCATCCATGCCCTAGATCCTGTTCTGATCCAAGAACGTGGGCATCAGCATTGGGCTGGGTCAGTTTCAGACACAGCCTGGAGGGATATTTCTCCTCTGGTCCAAGTCCAACCCTGAGGAACTAACCAATGAGCCACATGTCATGGGGGGGAGCAGGTCCAGGGGACTGCCTGAGGACTGGAGGTCCTTAACCAGCCTCCCACACTGACTGGGAAAAAGAGGGGACACTTCCCCTCCCCCACTTTAGAAGTCTTGCATGCCGGATCCCAGCCTGAATGCCTCCCTCCCAGGCTGTGTTTACAGTGTGGCTGACTCAGGCTGACCTCGGGGTGATGCTTTCTGTCCTCCTATCTCTCTGCTCCTGGTAATAGGACTTGGCACCTCATTCTTTGTCTCTTAACTCCCAAGGGATCTGGAGAGGGCCAGAACTCTACAGAATATGACTTGGGGTGTCTAGGATTCTAGGGGGAGGGATGGAGGAGCTCTGGGGATGCCCGTAACAGTGCTTCTCCTGTCAGAGGTCTGTGCTTCTGTATATCCCCGAATGGAATGAGCAGCACCTCATACGGGGCTGGGTGCACAGGCAGTGGCTTTTTCCTTAGAAATAACCCTTAGCAACTGAACTGATGGGCACAGGAAACGCAGCCCAAGGGAGGTACAGAGAAAAAGGAGAACCCGGCTCCCAAACGTATCAGACAAGAGCAGTCAAACCAATCCTTCCCACTCGACCACAACATACAGCTGACCCCAGCTGGACTGGGAGAAGGAGCGGAAATGGGAGAGGCAGACTTCAGACCCAGATGTTGCTATCATGGAATTAGAGGAAGAGTCAGTGGGAAATAGGGGGTAGCGATGAGATGATAAGATATACCTGGGCTCACCCTGAAGAGCCAAGGGTTTAAAGAACCTGGTGCGATTACCAGCTCGCTTCTCATGTTGTTTCACCTCTGCTGGAACAAAGTGGAGCTAAGGACCTCTAGACAATAGGGCACACTCACCTCAAGCCCATGCCCAGGTGCTTTATCATGTTGCTGAGCGAGACGTTGTTGGCATTGAAAGGTTTTCTTTTCTCTGCAAACTCGTGAGCCAGGCAGATGCGCCAGCCAAAGGGGGGCACCTGGTAACCCTTCGCTTGACCCTCATAGGAAGCCATCAGTTGCCCTGAGTCCATCCCGTCGTTTGGGGGTGGGTCGTCGGCGGGCCTCTCAGGGTCCGTCACCTTTACGGCATCCGTGCCTCCAGTGTCTTCAAGGCAATACGCCTGGGGATCCCTTTGGGCACAGCTAGTCTGCTCCGAGGCTGGGACTCCAGTGCCCATGTTCCCAGGATCCTGAGTTCCCACGATCTCCAAGCTCCGGGTTTCTGAACCTTTTGGATACAATGTATCTGGCTCCCGGATCTTTGGATACAATGTATCTGGTCGGCCCAGCCCACAAGCTGATGCTGGGTGCAGTGGAACGCAGAGCCCAGAGCAGCGATGAGGCTAACGATGGGCCCGCGAGGAGCGAGCCAAGGGCTGCTGCAGCGTCGGCGCGGGCGAAGGCAATGAAGCCTCCCGGGCGCCGCCGCGCTGGTCTCCCTGGGTCCTGGGCGGGAAGGGTCGGGCCTCGCCGTCATTGGGCCGCGGTGATTAGCCAGACTGGCCGAAGGGGGACGGGGCGGGAGGGGCGGAGCCCCGGGGGCCCGCCCGCCCGGCGCCGCCCCCGGGACCCGCCCTGCAGCTCCCGGCCGCCGGCTCCCGGGGCTCTCAGGGTCCCGGCACCTCCAGGCTTCCGCGCGCTGCGCGCCGGGTCCCGCCGGCCGGTATCCGCGCAGCGAGCACGCACGCCCGGCGCAGGTCCGCGGGAGCCGTGGGAAGGTGACCGGGACGGCCTGACGAGCAGAGTCCCTTCCGGTGCGGGTGGCCGGGCGCTTCCGGCCGGAAGCGGCTCGGCGGGGGGCGGGGGCGGCGGGGGAAGTCCCGCCCCGCGCCGCCGCGGCTCACCTGGCGGGGTCCCGGCGGGCGGCCAGGTGAGGGGGTGTGGCGGTGGCCCCCTGGATTGCGACCCGGAGACGTACTGGGACTCGGAGCTCCAGGTGACGGGCGTCCTTGGCCTTGGGGCGGGACGTGGGGCCTTGAGGCCGGCCCGGGGGTGAGGGGGTGCTGGGGGCGGGCAAGAAGAGCCAGAGCGGAGGGAGGCCGGAGGAAGGGAAGCCGGAGCTGCAGGGACCTGGGGCTCTCGGAAAGGTGCCCCTCCCGGATTGCGAACCATAGTACGGTGGTTGAGGCCTTGCTTGCAAGCGGACCCACTCAGGTTCCATCTCCCGCATTCCAGGGGTTCTCCCGAACACTGCCAGGAGTAACTCCTGAGCATTGCGGGGTGTGACCCGAAAGCAAAGCAAAACAAAACAAACAAAAAATAAGAAAGAAGAAAAGAGAGAATGAATCTCTCTTCCTGGGTGGCACCGTGCCCATTGCCACTCACACCTCCCATTCGCTTCCCCGCATCCCAGATCTCTCCTCCTGAATGTGCCCCGCACTCCCCGCGGCTGGCCGCGGACATCGGACCTCTGACCACCCCTTACCTCCAATTTTCTTCCAGACCCAGGCCCTGAGTTGCCATGATCGAAGTGGTGGCAGAGCTGAGCCGGGGGCCCGTGTTTCTGGCCGGGGAGGCGCTGGAGTGTGTGGTGACCGTCACTAATCCCCTGGCCCCCACAGCCACTTCTGCATCCAGGTGGGGGTGCTAGCCCTTCTGGGAGGCTGGCAGCCCTGGCACATCATCTCTCTCACTCCTTGGGGCTGTTTGTTGGCAGCACTCTCCTCTCTGCTTCACTTCTCCCCCACCCTCTTCCCTTCTTGTTCAGTGGTGTTTCTATGGGGTCCTGGGATAGCTGCCTCACACAGTGCGGTGGGGGGCTGCCAAGGTCAAGAACGCCCTCTGATGCCACCTCTTCTTCCCCAATAGTGAAGCTTTGGCCTGGGCCAGTGCACAGATCCACTGCCAGTTCCATGCCAGTGAGAGCCGGGTGGCATTGCCGCCCCCTGACTCCAATCAGCCTGAGGTGCAGCCCGAGAGCCAGACTGTCTTTCTGCCACATCGAGGTCAGAGATGGCACGAGAGGGTGATGGGGTGCCTCTCATCGTGATGGGTGGGGGGCTGACGTGTAGTGGATCATTGTCACTCTGGGGATGCAGAGAAAGACAAGTGTGTCTTTGAAGGTTGCAAAACTGTCTTTATTTTCCCAGAAGAGGGGTGGCCCAGTGTGGCCTGCCTGGACCAACCACTCTTCCTGTCTGTGCTGGCCTTGTGGGGTTCTGACCTCAGGGTCCTTAACCCAAAGTCTTTCTCTTATAGGTGAGAGGGGCCAGTGTATCCTCTCCACTCCTCCAAAGATTCTCTTCTGTGACCTGCGGCTGGAACCTGGAGAGTCCAGATCATGTGAGTGGCTGTCCCAGCCCTGGATAGTGGTACAAGGCTCCAGGGGGAGTGGGAGAGGGGGTTGAACTGACTGCCTGTCGCCCTGGCCCCCCCTCCCACCTAGACTCCTACAGTGAGGTGCTGCCTCTCGAGGGACCTCCCTCCTTCCGGGGCCAGTCTGTCAAGTATGTCTACAAGTTGACCATTGGCTGCCAACGCGTCAATTCCCCCATCACCTTACTTAGGGTCCCTCTGAGAGTCCTCGTGCTGACGGGTGAGTGAAGTTTCATTTTACTAGGCTCATGGAAGGGGCTTAAAGGATGCTTCCTCTTTTCTTTGTTTTGGAGTGGAGAAAAGTTGGGTGCATGAAGGATGGCTTAGCAAAGAGTGCTCAGGGGGGCCCTGGGGGGGACACTCCCTGTGATACTTCACCAACTGAGCTGGGCAGTTGAATGCTTGGGGGTCCATGTGGGTCTCCAGGGCTACATGCTACAGTGCTTGAGGTGTGTGTGTGGGGGGGTGCTGGGAGGGTTCTGTGGTACTAGAAATTTAGCCCAGGGTCTTCCTTCAAAGCATGCACTGCAGTCACTGTGCTCTGTTCAGGCTTCCTGTTCTCCATGAAGGTGTAAGGGAATGGGTGCTGGAAGATTCTGTAAAATGGGTTAAGATCCAAGCCTCCGCTGTAGCTCTCCTTCTGCCCCTCAGCTAGAGTCTAAAATCCTAACATCTGCTTCTGTCCATTCCCTCCTCTCCCACTCTCCTCTCTGCAGGCCTTCAAGATGTCCGGTTTCCCCAGGATGAGTCTGTGGCCCCATCCAGTCCGTTCTTGGAGGAGGAAGAAAGTGGCAAGAAGGACTCTTGGCTCACAGAACTGGCGGGGGAGCGTCTCATGGCCACCACATCCTGCCGCAGCCTCCGTGAGTATTCTGTCAGAATTGCCCCCATCCCAGCCACCATGGGAATGAGAACCCCAAACAGAATTATCCCTTCCGTCCCCCTTCCCACTCTCTCCTCAGGGTACTCTTGTCCCACACAGACTTTCCTCACTGCCACATTTCCTCTCACATTATGAGGAGAAATTCATCCCATTTCTTGAGTCCAATTTCCCATGTCCAGATGTTCCCCAGTATGAACCCCAGGTTTATACTGTGCCATTCCTCCCCAGATCTGTACAATATCAGCGATGGCCGAGGGAAAGTTGGAACATTCGGCATCTTCAAATCTGTGTACAGACTTGGCGAAGATGTGATAGGGACCTTAAACCTGGGGGAAGGAACTGTTGCTTGCTTGCAGGTGAGTAAGGAGGGGACTTTGGAGGCCTGAAGGGAAGGGTGGACGTGGGGGAAGGAAAAGATCCTGCATATATATGGGCAGGGGCAGGGGTGTGGAGAAGTGGGCAGCGGGGTCCCCCGGGGGCCTGGGCTGGCTCTCAGCAGACCAGCACTGCCCAGTGCTGCCCACACTGCTTTGTTCCTCGCAGTTCTCGGTAAGCTTGCAGACTGAAGAGCGGGTGCAGCCCGAGTATCAGCGGCGCCGAGGGGCAGGCGGCGCCCCCTCTGTGTCCCATGTGACTCACGCCCGGCACCAGGAGTCCTGCCTACATACCACCAGGACCAGCTTCTCCCTCCCCATTCCACTGAGCTCCACCCCAGGCTTCTGCACAGCCATTGGTGAGACTCTGACCATTTCGAGGAGAAGGGTAGAAGGGGGCCGAGCATACATTTGTGCTTTGGTATCCCACAGATCCTGCTTCTTAACACGGTGCCCAGCCTACGCCCACCCTGGCCCATCACACTCAGGCCTCACACTTCTGCACACCAGGGTCACTGGTGCTACAGAACAGTGAACTCGCACACCAAGTTGTGCTGTCCCCACACTCGGGTGTGTAGGTCCTGCACACCCTTGCCTTGTAGTCTGATTTCTGGTTAACGCCGTTGATATTTCCAGAGTGACCCTCGAACCTAGCTCCCTGCCCCATGCCTTCCTCCCTCCTTCCCAGTTCACCCCAGACGGTGTTTCCCCTGTTTGCTAACTGCTTGCTGGCATTGGCTTTTACTCCTGGTTCCTAAGTCCCCTCCTTTCCTCTCCCCGCCACAGTTTCCCTGAAGTGGCGGCTACACTTTGAGTTTGTGACATCCAGAGAACCCGGTCTGGTACTCCTGCCTCCCATGGAACAGCCCGAGCCTGTCACCTGGACGGGGCCCGAGCAAGTGCCCGTCGACACGTTCAGCTGGGACCTCCCCATCAAGGTGCTGCCAACAAGCCCCACGCTGGCCTCCTACGCCGCCCCGGGCCCCAGCACCAGCACCATCACCATCTAAAACTGCCACTGCTTTGCGTGCCGGGCCCGGCAACCAAGGCCCGTCCCCACCGGGCCCAGGACCATGGACAATGAGAGGCCAACCTTAAGCGGGAGCATTCACTTATTTATTCAGAATAAAGTGGTAGCTGCTAGTGGTTTCCCTGCACGTGGCAGCAGCAGTGGGCAGCTGGCAGAAGGGTCTAGCTGGAGTGGGGAGCAGAAGCCCCGGCAGCAGGGGTATTTGCGGAGCCCCACTCTGGGTCGGGTCCTCCCCCTTTGCAGGGCAGCCGAGGGTCCGCTTTCTGCACCAGGGAAAACTGGCAGGTGTCTGCCTCCCGGCGGAGCTCGCACTCAGCAGGGAAGTCGATGGGGTGCTGGGACCTGGGAACCAAAGGTGGGGGTTGGAGTCAGTGCAGTCCCAGGCACTGTCCCACCCCCACCCCATCCCACCATTCCTCAGCTCCTGCCCGTATGTGGCTGAAGCTGCCCTCCTTGCCCCTCCTCACCTGGTAGCTGTGTTTCTTCCACACCCACCCCACCCCCCTTCCTCCCTCCCTCCCGCATTTTCAAATCTTTGGAATCTCCAGCTTCCAGCAGCCTCCTGCCGCTGTCCTGCTCCGACTCACAGCCCAGCTGTCTGGTTCCTCCCACTCATCCCTTAGTCACATGGGTCAGTCCCCCAGGTCACTCACGTGTCGCAGCAGCCCACCCCAACGGGATGCAGGCAGGTGCAGTGGAAACAGTCCCCTCGGAGCCAGGACTCGCCCAGGCTATAATACTTCCCCTCATAGTGGCAGGGGGCTAGGGAAGAACAGGAAGTGTTGGCACCTTCGAGGCTGGAGTGCGAGTAGGGTGCACGTCACTCCTGTGTTTAGTCTCTTCTGAGCAAAAGGAGTCAGGGTTCTGACACGGCATCTCCAAGCCGTCCCACCCCCCCACCCCACCCCCTTTTCTGTCCTGGTCCTTTCCTAGTGTCTGACCCAGCTTTACCTTGAGCTTGGAAGTAGCACTTGCTGTGGACTCCCGGGTACTGGAGAAGCAGAGAGACGAGCAAGCAGAGGGGCCCCCAGCCTCCCAAGATCCCCTTTGCCTGTCCCGCCCAGGGTGCCCTCACAGCCATTTTCCCGGCACAGTGCTCGGGGACCGTTCTCAGCTCCCTTTGCAGCTGCTCTGGGTGTTCTCCTGGGCTTTTTCCTGGTTTCTCTCCTTGTGGTCTTAGCCTCTGTCCTCCTCTCTGGGGCTCCTGTCTCACACTATCTTCCTGCCTTCTCCTTGGACAGGCTCAGGGATGTTTATAAAGTGAGGACCCTGGCCCCCTGCTGAGGAGAGCTGGAAAAGTTGTAGCTCCGTTTCCTGAGGTGAGGGCATGAAAACAAGAGGTCTAGCTTTAACAAGCTGTGAGAGCTGATTCATGCCCCAGCACAGCTAGGGGGAGGGAAGTGGCCAGGGAAGGGGCACCGGACCGGGCGCTTGGCCCAACAAGGAGGTGGGAGGAGAGGCCCCCCCAGGTGGTCTCCACATCTCTTCCCTGACCTGGAGAGAAGGAAGCGTTCCACCACTTACTTCCCCTGGCCGCCCTCTCCGCCACAACACACATACACTCCAGGGGTGTGTGTGTGCTGGGATCCCTGCCTGAACCGGAGGGAGGCATTTCCTGGGGATGGTGAACACTGAGCCTCAGCCAAACCGGGGAGCTGCAATGGGGTGCGACGGCCCAAGACTCCAGGGGAGCAAACAGGCACCTGGAGTGAAGAATGTCCCACTGCAGAGTCTCCTGAGTCAGACCCGTCTTGGGGGTGAACCACTATCCCCTCTGCAGGTATCTGTCGCAGAGACAAACTGTCCCTAGATAATTTAGCAGAGCCAGGACCTCCCCAAGTCTGAGGATGGTTCCTTCAAAGAGTGGAACCTCTTCCAAGTGCTTCCCAGGGCGGGGTTGGAGCAATTGTACAGCAGGTATGGTGCTTGCCTTGCATGTGGGTGACCTGGGTCAGCACCCTATGTTGCCCCCCAACCCAAGCTTCTCCAGGAGTGATCCCCAAGGACACAGCCAGAAGCCCTCAGCACTGCCAGCTTTGGCTCAGAAACCAAAAATTAAACTTTAAGCGTCCCTGAGGTGGATATCACTGCACTTCCACAAAAAGGCCCTTTGTCCTCTGATCCCTTTAAGACCCAGGTCTCAGGAGTTTAGCCTCTCACTTCCTTTTCTGGGTTACCTATAGTCTCTGGAGAACCCCAGAATGGGTGATTCAGAGCATAAGCTGTAGAGTTAGACACCCTGAATGCAAGTCCTTACTGCATTTATGTGAGCTGTGTGACCTTGGGCGAGTTACTTCACCTCTCCAAACCTTATCTGAATTGATAAGTAATCAGAACTGAATTCCAATTGCTGTTTTCCTTATTTGAGTTGGTAGAGTAACTAGAATTCAAGGGTTGTTCAGAGGATTTAGGGAATACATGCAATCCTCAGTGTCTTCCTGGGCACACACAACCTTGGCCAGGGTTGGCATCTGTTATCAGGCTAGATTTCAGCCCGGATGCAGAGGGCCCTTGTGTCTGAAAGGCCGAGAGTCACTCACTGAGCTGAAACCTTCTATGGGGAGTTACCGGCTCTCAACACAGACACTATTCCTTTTGTACTCACGTACCATGCATTTCAGGTATAATCCTTCCCCCTTTGAAATTCTGGATACTGATTTGAGAAAAGGGGTTGCAGAAAAACCTGACTTCCTTGGCCAGTACCCTCACTTCTCCCGCTGGACAGAGGTAGCATTTCCTCATCACCCCTCTGGCATTAGGATTCCTGCCTCAGAATCCTGGTCCACTCTTCCCAGCCCCACTCACAGAAAAGGTCAAGTTCTATTTTCTGACCAATGCTGGCCACCTCTTGGTACCAAAAGCCTATGTCCAAGCTGGCTTTTGTTTCCCAGACTTCAGAAGATCCCAGCTCCCCATTCCAGACACTTCCCATCCTGTTTGCAGGCCCAGTCACTTGGGTACTCATTTTTCCTTCATAATCTTCATTTCCCAAGACTTCCCTTTTCCCCAGAGAATGGACACTCCTGGCTGAATTGGGACAGCTACTTGCCTCTGTCCTTGCCATTCGGAAGCTCCATCCATTCACCCCCAGCTCCCTCTCTTGGCCAGTAAGACTGCTTAAGTTTTACAGACTGTGGACTTCCCTGCGCACAGCCCCTCATTAGGCCTCCCTTTTCATGTCAGAGGGGTGCCTGTTTTAAAGGGAAAACCCATAGAAGGCAGTGGGGGCTGGTGTCGCCTGGCAGGTGAAAGACAGTCCCAGGGCTGTTCTCCTGGCTGGAACAGGTGGCTAGAGGGATGGTCCAGCAAGAGGGCCCCTGAGTCCTCCCAGTGTTCAGTAGCTCAGGTGCTGCCTCTCTAAGAAATGGGGTCCAGGGATGGGTGGAGGGGAGAGATGAGAGAAGGAAAAAAACAGGGCTTAGGTGAAGTCTGAAGGCTGGAATTTTTACCTTCTGCTTCTGCAACTTGGAGCCAAGCCAACAGAGGGTAGACAAGAGTGGGGAGTGAGGACCACTATGACAAAGATAGTTGGAAATGACCACTCTGGGTAAGAACTGCGTGCTGAGGGGCTGGAACGATAGTACAGCGGGCAGAGTGTTTGCGGCCGACCTGGGTTCCATCCCTGGAATTCCATATGGTCCCCTGAGCACCTCCAGGAGTAATTCCTAAGTGGAGAGCAAGGAGTAACCCCTAAGCAGCGCTGGGTGTGACCCAAAAAAGAAAAAAAAAGAAAACCCCCAAAAACAAACAAGTAAAAAACTGCATGCTGAAAAGAGGTGAAGGAACAAACAGGATAACCTCTCAATATCAGGGTGTGTGTGTGTGTGTGTGTGTGTGTGTGTGTGTGGAGAGAGAGAGAGAGAGAGAGAGAGAGAGAGAGAGAGAGAGAGAGAGAGAGAGAGAGAGAGAGCGCCTGCCATAAGAAGATAGGCTGGGAGAGGGTAAGAGTTGAAGGAGGAAAACTGGGGACATTGGTGGTGGGAAATATACACTGGTGGAGGAATGGGTGTTAGAACACTGTATGACTGAAACCGGACCATGAACAGCTTTTGTATCTTACGGTGATTCAATTGAAAAAAAAAAAAAACGTGCAGGGAGTGAGCAAAAGCAGACGCTGATACTGATGTGGAATGAAGATGAGCTAGTAAGTTGATGGGGACAGACGTGAGGCGGCTAAAATGAAGCTAAGATGGGTACTTGGGGTCTCCTGGTCTCCTGGAAAGGGGAAAAAAATCCTATAACAGCCAGAATCTCTCTTCCACCAGTCAGGGGGGTAGTGGGGAGCCTTTGCTTGGACCTGCTTGCAATCCTGGAGTCCGCGCCTTTAGCTTGGTGGGGGTGGAGGCCGTGCTTGTGGTTGCCGCGTGTGTGGTTAGGGGGTGGCAGGGTCAAGGCCCAGTGCAACGATTTCTGGGGCAGCAGCCTTTAGGGATGCCAGCTGTGGGGAGCGCGGCGGTTGGCCTTGTGTGTTAGGAGTGGGTGGTTGGCGAGCACCCCTCAGCTCGGGAACAGAAAAAACATCCGCCGGAGGCCCGGCCGGGCGGCACTCCAGCAGCGCCAGGCAGGTGCGCGCCGCCGCGGAAGTGAGCGCATTCCGGGCCCCCTGGCCTCTGTGAGTCACCCCGACCCCCACCGCCAGCGGACAGGAGGGGATAGACCTCTGCTAGGAAGAAGAGAGGGGTGGGCTCCTTGCCCCGGTGCCTGGAGGAGGGGATCCCTGGGAAGAACTCCCAAGCGCCCAAGGACTGAGTACACAGGAGATCCGCGACTTCATTCCGCCACCCACAGGAAGCTGAGCGCAGAGCTTAAATGGGGCAGGTGTGTGCGAGCGCGCGCATTTTGGCATATGTGCACGTGTGAATGTGGAGAGAACACGTCCAGGAACTGTCGGGGCAGGAGCTGCAGGTTGTGAGGCCCAGAAAAGGGCGCGGGAGTGGGAGGGGGCTTGCCTGGGCCTTGGCAAGGACTGGAGATGGAAAGTGGACAATGGCTAGTCCGTAGAGAGCAATTTTGTCCAGCGGCCTGTGTGCTGGAATTAGGGAAGTTTGGGTACAGTTCATGACCAGGTCAGTCAAAGCTTGAAAGCCCCATGTGGCTGTTGGATTCAATTGAGCAAGAAGGGTAGTCACTTAAAAGCAAGGGTATCTGTACCTGTCATTAGGACCTGCCTTTTGCTCTTTGTCAAAAAGGAATCACTGTTCATTAAAACACTGGGGGAAAACTGGAGGGAAAGTTTTATTGTAGTTTAGGTAACTTGGTTACAATAATGTTAGTATTTATAGTTTTGATATACATAGTTACTGCATCTTCACCACTGCTCAACCTCACCCCACTCCATATGTCACTTCTTGTCTGCCTCCACCATCCACCTGCCTCACCCCCTCAGGATGATCTTTTCATTTTTAGAGTCATTTAATTTGTTTTGGGGGCTATTCCCAGCAGTGCTCAGAGGCTACTCAAGGCTGAACTCAGGAGACCATGTCACAGCAATTGAACAAGGTCAGTCCCATGCAAGGCATGTGCCTTAACCTTTGTACTAGCTCACCAGCTCTTGTAGCCACTTAGAATTGCATAGCTATGTTTATCAAAACATTTCAGTAATTGTATTGAAATTCAAAAAGTCGAAAATTGATTAGTCTAATTCAGTATTTGCTTTGGAACCTTGGGTTATCAAGATAGTTCTATAGTGTTAAGTCTATTGGGGACACCCCTGGCAGTACTCAGGGTTTACTCCTGGTCTGTAATCAGAACTGTATGTGGTGCCCAGGACAAATGTGGGTCAGTTGCATGCAAGGCAACCGCTCTACCCCCTATGTCCTGATTTTATGGCAATGTTTTGCTCACTGAACAAAGTTATGTGTTGATGCCTAATTTATTCTATCTTAGTGGACTTGGACTTTTGGTTCTCTCTTTCATCTAAGGCCTCATTTTAAAATATTTTTTTCTGTATAGTCCTTTAACCTGCCTTATGTATCCTGAACCAAATAAAACAATTTTGATATGGGGCATTGGACTACAGGATGCAAAGACAAGTAGCTGTATTTTACATGTCAGATTATTTACTCTCTCCTCTCTCTCTCT